GGTGGTGGGTGTGGACAGTAGGTGGTGGTGGGTGGGACAGTAAGTGGTGGTGGGTGGGACAGTTGGTGGTGGTGGGTGTGGACAGTTGGTGGTGGTGGGTGGGACAGTAGGTGGTGGTGGGTGGGACAGTAGGTGGTGGTGGGTGGGACAGTAAGTGGTGGTGGGTGGGACAGTAGGTGGTGGTGGGTGGGACAGTAGGTGGTGGTGGGTGTGGACAGTTCGTGGTGGTGGGTGGGACAGTAAGTGGTGGTGGGTAGGACAGTAAGTGGTGGTGGGTGGGGACAGTTGGTGGTGGTGGGTGGGACAGTAAGTGGTGGTGGGTGGGACAGTTGGTGGTGGTGGGTGTGGACAGTTGGTGGTGGTGGGTGGGACAGTAGGTGGTGGTGGGTGGGACAGTAGGTGGTGGTGGGTGGGACAGTAAGTGGTGGTGGGTGGGGACAGTTGGTGGTGGTGGGTGGGACAGTAGGTGGTGGTGGGTGGGACAGTAGGTGGTGGTGGGTGGGACAGTAAGTGGTGGTGGGTGTGGACAGTTGGTGGTGGTGGGTGGGACAGTAGGTGGTGGTGGGTGGGACAGTAAGTGGGGGTGGGTGGGGACAGTGGGTGGTGGTGGGTGGGACAGTAGGTGGTGGTGGGTGGGACAGTAGGTGGTGGTGGGTGGGGACAGTAGGTGGTGGTGGGTGGGACAGTAAGTGGTGGTGGGTGGGGACAGTTGGTGGTGGTGGGTGGGACAGTAGGTGGTGGTGGGTGTGGACAGTAGGTGGTGGTGGGTGGGACAGTAAGTGGTGGTGGGTGTGGACAGTAAGTGGTGGTGGGTGTGGACAGTAGGTGGTGGTGGGTGGGACAGTAGGTGGTGGTGGGTGTGGACAGTAGGTGGTGGTGGGTGGGACAGTAGGTGGTGGTGGGTGGGACAGTAGGTGGTGGTGGGCGTGGACAGTAGGTGGTGGTGGGTGGGACAGTAAGTGGTGGTGGGTGGGACAGTAAGTGGTGGTGGGTGGGACAGTAGGTGGTGGTGGGTGGGACAGTAGGTGGTGGTGGGTGGGGACAGTTGGTGGTGGTGGGTGGGGACAGTAGGTGGTGGTGGGTGGGACAGTAGGTGGTTGTGGGTGTGGACAGTAGGTGGTGGTGGGTGTGGACAGTAGGTGGTGGTGGGTGGGACAGTAAGTGGTGGTGGGTGTGGACAGTAGGTGGTGGTGGGTGGGACAGTAGGTGGTGGTGGGTGTGGACAGTAGGTGGTGGTGGGTGTGGACAGTAGGTGGTGGTGGGTGGGACAGTAGGTGGTGGTGGGTGTGGACAGTAGGTGGTGGTGGGTGGGACAGTAAGTGGTGGTGGGTGTGGACAGTAGGTGGTGGTGGGTGGGACAGTAGGTGGTGGTGGGTGGGACAGTAGGTAGTGGTGGGTGGGACAGTAGGTGGTGGTGGGTGGGACAGTAGGTGGGGGTGGGGGGGGCCAGTAGGTGGTGGTGGGTGGGACAGTAAGTGGTGGTGGGTGTGGACAGTAGGTGGTGGTGGGTGGGACAGTAGGTGGGGGTGGGTGTGGACGGTAGTGGGTGGGGGGTGGGACAGTAGGTGGTGGTGGGTGGGACAGTAGGTGGTGGTGGGTGGGACAGTAGGTGGTGGTGGGTGGGACAGTAAGTGGTGGTGGGTGGGACAGTAGGTGGTGGTGGGTGGGACAGTAAGTGGTGGTGGGTGTGGACAGTAGGTGGTGGTGGGTGGGACAGTAGGTGGTGGTGGGTGTGGACAGTAGGTGGTGGTGGGTGGGACAGTAAGTGGTGGTGGGTGGGGACAGTTGGTGGTGGTGGGTGGGACAGTAGGTGGTGGTGGGTGTGGACAGTAGGTGGTGGTGGGTGGGACAGTAAGTGGTGGTGGGTGTGGACAGTAGGTGGTGGTGGGTGGGACAGTAGGTGGTGGTGGGTGTGGACAGTAGGTGGTGGTGGGTGGGACAGTAGGTGGTGGTGGGTGGGACAGTAGGTGGTGGTGGGGTGGACAGTAGGTGGTGGTGGGTGTGGACAGTAGGTGGTGGTGGGTGGGACAGTAGGTGGTGGTGGGTGGGACAGTAGGTGGTGGTGGGCGTGGACAGTAGGTGGTGGTGGGTGAGACAGTAGGTGGTGGTGGGTGGGACAGTAGGTGGTGGTGGGTGGGACAGTAGGTGGTGGTGGGTGGGACAGTAAGTGGTGGTGGGTGAGACAGTAGGTGGTGGTGGGTGGACAGTAGGTGGTGGTGGGTGGGACAGTAGGTGGTGGTGGGTGGGACAGTAGGTGGTGGTGGGTGTGGACAGTAGGTGGTGGTGGGTGGGACAGTAGGTGGTGGTGGGTGTGGACAGTAGGTGGTGGTGGGTGGGACAGTAAGTGGTGGTGGGTGAGACAGTAGGTGGTGGTGGGTGGGACAGTAGGTGGTGGTGGGTGGGACAGTAGGTGGTGGTGGGTGTGGACAGTAGGTGGTGGTGGGTGGGACAGTAGGTGGTGGTGGGTGTGGACAGTAGGTGGTGGTGGGTGGGACAGTAGGTGGTGGTGGGTGTGGACAGTAGGTGGTGGTGGGTGGGACAGTAGGTGGTGGTGGGTGTGGAGTGGTGGTGGGTGGGGACAGTTGGTGGTGGTGGGTGGGACAGTAGGTGGTGGTGGGTGGGACAGTAAGTGGTGGTGGGTGTGGACAGTAAGTGGTGGTGGGTGGGACAGTAGGTGGTGGTGGGTGGGACAGTAAGTGGTGGTGGGTGGGACAGTAGGTGGTGGTGGGTGGGACAGTAGGTGGTGGTGGGTGGGACAGTAAGTGGTGGTGGGTGGGACAGTAAGTGGTGGTGGGTGGGGACAGTTGGTGGTGGTGGGTGGGACAGTAGGTGGTGGTGGGTGGGACAGTAGGTGGTGGTGGGTGGGACAGTAAGTGGTGGTGGGTGGGGACAGTTGGTGGTGGTGGGTGGGACAGTAAGTGGTGGTGGGTGGGACAGTAAGTGGTGGTGGGTGGGACAGTAGGTGGTGGTGGGTGGGACAGTAGGTGGTGGTGGGTGGGACAGTAGGTGGTGGTGGGTGGGACAGTAGGTGGTGGTGGGTGGGACAGTAGGTGGTGGTGGGTGGGACAGTAGGTGGTGGTGGGTGTGGACAGTAGGTGGTGGTGGGTGTGGACAGTAGGTGGTGGTGGGTGGGACAGTAAGTGGTGGTGGGTGGGACAGTTGGTGGTGGTGGGTGTGGACAGTTGGTGGTGGTGGGTGGGACAGTAGGTGGTGGTGGGTGGGACAGTAGGTGGTGGTGGGTGGGACAGTAAGTGGTGGTGGGTGGGACAGTAGGTGGTGGTGGGTGTGGACAGTAGGTGGTGGTGGGTGGGACAGTAGGTGGTGGTGGGTGTGGACAGTAGGTGGTGGTGGGTGGGACAGTAGGTGGTGGTGGGTGTGGACAGTTGGTGGTGGTGGGTGGGACAGTAAGTGGTGGTGGGTGGGACAGTTGGTGGTGGTGGGTGTGGACAGTTGGTGGTGGTGGGTGGGACAGTAGGTGGTGGTGGGTGGGACAGTAGGTGGTGGTGGGTGGGACAGTAAGTGGTGGTGGGTGGGGACAGTTGGTGGTGGTGGGTGGGACAGTAGGTGGTGGTGGGTGGGACAGTAGGTGGTGGTGGGTGGGACAGTAAGTGGTGGTGGGTGTGGACAGTTGGTGGTGGTGGGTGGGACAGTAGGTGGTGGTGGGTGGGACAGTAAGTGGTGGTGGGTGGGGACAGTTGGTGGTGGTGGGTGGGACAGTAGGTGGTGGTGGGTGGGACAGTAGGTGGTGGTGGGTGTGGACAGTAGGTGGTGGTGGGTGGGACAGTAAGTGGTGGTGGGTGGGGACAGTTGGTGGTGGTGGGTGGGACAGTAGGTGGTGGTGGGTGTGGACAGTAGGTGGTGGTGGGTGGGACAGTAAGTGGTGGTGGGTGTGGACAGTAGGTGGTGGTGGGTGGGACAGTAGGTGGTGGTGGGTGTGGACAGTAGGTGGTGGTGGGTGGGACAGTAGGTGGTGGTGGGTGGGACAGTAGGTGGTGGTGGGCGTGGACAGTAGGTGGTGGTGGGTGGGACAGTAAGTGGTGGTGGGTGGGACAGTAAGTGGTGGTGGGTGGGACAGTAGGTGGTGGTGGGTGGGACAGTAGGTGGTGGTGGGTGGGGACAGTTGGTGGTGGTGGGTGGGGACAGTAGGTGGTGGTGGGTGGGACAGTAGGTGGTTGTGGGTGTGGACAGTAGGTGGTGGTGGGTGGGGACAGTAGGTGGTGGTGGGTGGGACAGTAAGTGGTGGTGGGTGTGGACAGTAGGTGGTGGTGGGTGGGACAGTAGGTGGTGGTGGGTGGGACAGTAAGTGGTGGTGGGTGTGGACAGTAGGTGGTGGTGGGTGGGACAGTAGGTGGTGGTGGGTGTGGACAGTAGGTGGTGGTGGGTGGGACAGTAAGTGGTGGTGGGTGTGGACAGTAGGTGGTGGTGGGTGGGACAGTAGGTGGTGGTGGGTGTGGACAGTAGGTGGTGGTGGGTGGGACAGTAGGTGGTGGTGGGTGTGGACAGTAGGTGGTGGTGGGTGGGACAGTAGGTGGTGGTGGGTGTGGACAGTAGGTGGTGGTGGGTGTGGACAGTAGGTGGTGGTGGGTGTGGACAGTAGGTGGTGGTGGGTGTGGACAGTTGGTGGTGGTGGGTGGGACAGTAAGTGGTGGTGGGTGGGGACAGTTGGTGGTGGTGGGTGGGACAGTAGGTGGTGGTGGGTGGGACAGTAAGTGGTGGTGGGTGTGGACAGTAAGTGGTGGTGGGTGGGACAGTAGGTGGTGGTGGGTGGGACAGTAAGTGGTGGTGGGTGGGACAGTAGGTGGTGGTGGGTGGGACAGTAGGTGGTGGGCGGGACAGTAGGTGGTGGGCGGCACAGTAGGTGGTGGTGGTTGGGGACAGTAGGTGGCGATGGGTGGGACAGTCGGAGGTGGTGGGCGGGACAGTAAGTGGTGGTTGAGGACAGAAGGTGGTAATGGGTGGGAGAGTAGGTGGTGGTGAGTGGGGACAGTAGGTAGCCTCACCGCTCAGCAGATGCCCTTCGCTGAAGGTGCCCAGAGGCACGTAGATGGTTTTGTTTCGCACGCCGCTGCAATGGCGTTGCGTCTTGTGGGCCTGCACGCACGCCACGCTGCCCAGCACAACAAACGCATGCCACTCAAAACAACGCTCACGGTAGAGTCGCAACGAGGTATCTGAGCATTGAATAATCCTGCGGATTGTGCGTGACTTTACCTAAAGACCCAAATAATATTAATTTCTGCAGTCACTTAGGCTTTAAGTCAAGATTTAACCGCCTCTACGGGGAGGGTTTCCACACAACTATCCCTTTAGATGCTAACCCCCTCTTCCTGATGACAAACGCTTGTGTTGCGATCGAAGCGTCGTAGTCTTTTGTTATTTTCTATGAACCTATCTACATGACTTTACCGAAAGACCCAAAGAAAATGAGAAGGTCCTGGGTTCGATTCCCAACTCGAATGCCTTTATGCGTGCAGTTTGTACGTTCTCTCTTGTTCTGTGTGGGTTTCCTTCCATAGCAAAATCGACACAACGTAACTGGTATTGTCCAAACATCCAAATGCTGCAAAGTTAACAGCAAATTACTCAATTGAGATGGCACACAGCAGTATCGCCCCCGACTGTCAAACTACTGCAGGCCATGGCTGATAAAGCATAGCCCCTTCCTTCGTGACAGCCTTAAATTAACAGAATGGCTTGCATATCAGATCAGATCAGGGGATGTACGCCTACACGTCGTGCGGTCGCGTTAACCCTCCTACTCCACAGCCCTCCGGAACACGCACGGCGCGATGCAAGGCCAGCTCCCTTCCCAGTCCCAGCCCCTAAGAGGTGACGTTGAAGCTACTGGAGCCATGAGGACACCAGCCTCGCCCTCGGCCTTCGCCTCGTCCCTCCCCTTTGGCCTCAGCCTCCTACTCGGCCTTCTCTCCTTCGGCTTCCTTCTGCATCCGGGCAGGAACTCTCGATTCGAAGCGGGCTGCCCCGAAGGGGGTCAGCCTCCAGGGAAACGAGCCGCGCGGCCATCAGACGTCCGCAGCTCGCGCCCCACCCCACAGAGGCACGAGAGGAGCTTATTAGACCAGACTCTCAAAGCAATCGGTGGTTTGACAAAGAAACATCATCATCCAACTTGATGCCCTGGCAGCACCGCACACTGTGGTCGAGTGCCTCTATTGCACGGTGGGCCAGACCACCTCCCCTCCCCACGCGGCGAGTTAACTTTCTGAATTGCAACACCCAAAGAGTCGAAGAACTCCTGGATCTCGGTCGTCATCCAGGAGACCTGCATTCCCCAAGGCTCAACCTCCACATGAAACACCCCCCCTAGGGCCGCCTCCTTTACGGTATTCAATGACTCCGCGAATATCACCGCATCATCGGTAAAGTCCAGCTCAGTAAAACCTGGACTGTCCGTAGAATGCACCATGATGGCCCTGGTGCGATACCCAGCCCCAACACCCAGTACATGCAACTGTTGAATAGAGTGGGGGCCAAAATCACACTTCTCGCCTCACCCAGGCATTCACTGGGAAGAAGTCAGTGGCCCTCCCCCACTCACGATTTAACAGCGGTCTGGAATACAGGGTGGAGATCAAATCAACAATGCCCTCCGGTATTCTAGAGTACAGGCCAAACCACAGGGAGGTTCCCCAGTGCACCGAGTCGAAGTCCTTCTTCAGGTCGGTGCTCCAACAAGGCGCGGGGAGCCAGGATTCGCTCCAAATGTAAATCCGACCTGTTCTGGCTTCTGGTGAATCAGAAGGTTGGCTGGGCAAGTATCTTACCAGATACCGACAGCAGTGTCACCCGGTGGTAATTGTTGCAGTCAGATGAAAAAAACAAGCATAGGCTTTCGCCTTTCTGGCAACAAAACAGGTATTAAGATGTATGTATGTGTGTGTATTGAACCTCTTTCCCACTATATGCAGCCAAACGAAAGATGCTCAAACACCAAATAAATACCTATTTCAAAGGCATCAAGTCCTGGACTGTCCAAACAACCGTTTTTATTGCCAGACAGGATAAAGCCTAATAGTATTAAATTTCGATTTAAAGCTTTCGTGACTGCAGGGATTCATCTTCTTGTTTCTTTCGGTAAAGTCACGTAGAAGGGAAGTAATAAAATAATAAAAATAAAACATAATAAAACAATTCTCACGACGTTTCGGCTACAACGCAAGCAGCCGTCTTCAGGTGAAGAATGAGACACTACCAAACTAGGAGCTTATATATAAGCTGCATTGGGAGTTGAAGAGCGCCTTAACAAAAAGAATGTGCATGTGAAGAGGAATTTAGCATATTCATGGAAAATGCGTAGGCGTTGGGCGGGGGGGTGTCAAAGTCATATTATGCCCATGCATTATGCAGGATCAGCAGCAACCAAGGGGGGTGCAGGGATTAGCAGTAACAAAGGAAAGGAATGTTAATGATATGTAGCTGCAGTTACTCAACAACCACGTAGAAAACTAAAGTATAAACTACATAAAAAACTAAAGTATAAACTGCATCGCACCATCAGTATACTTACTATACTCTATAATAAGCTGAGTTACTAACAGCAAGTAATACATTACAATTCTACCTCGTAAAAATTCTATAATATGCTTCCATCTAAACCTTATTCTCTTATATCACACGAGCATATACCGTACTATATACTGCCATAGATAAACCCAACATTAAATTATATACTGTATTGCTGTAAACCAACCTATATCTTATACATTTAATATAACACTATGTATTATTCTACACACCCTAATGTGTATCGAAATGGTTTATTACGTCCTTCCAATGATTGCTGAGCCAGAATCCATCTTCTCGGTTAAAATTGTCTCTGTGTTTGTATATGTGGATCGCCTCATGAACGAATCTCTCATGATAGCCAGATGGCTTGCAGAGAACCTCTGTCTTGGAGAAGTCGATATCATGTGAGCCCACTGAGTTGTAACAGTGATCTGCCACGGCTGAGGTGTTTGTCCTACCGTGTTTCAGGTCAGCTTTATGTTCACGGATGCGGTCCGAGACATGTCGTTTGGTTTCCCCAATGTAACTGCTACCACAGAGGCAACTTAGTTTGTAGACGCCAGGGTACTGTATGTCTGGAACCACATCTTTTACAGACGGTACCAGATCACGGATTTTATGTACTGTGTTGAATCGGACCTGGATCTTGTGTTTAATCAGGATTTTGGAGATCTTTTTTGTGACCCCAGCAATGTAGGGTAAGGTGATGGTCTTGAAAGGCTCCTCAACAGGATCCTTCTTGATGGTTGGAGTGATGGCTTTGCGGATTGTATAGTCGGAGTAACCATTTGCCTTAAGAGCTTGGCGTACGTGTTTGAGTTCACTGGAAATGTGTTCATGGTCGGAGATGCATTGGGCTCTATGATATAGAGTCTTGATGAGGGAATTCTTCTGGGATGGATGGTGGTGGGAATCCGGTTTTAGATAAGCATCCGTGTGGGTGGCTTTCCTGTAGACAGAGTGGCTCATTGAACCATCAGGTCTCCTTTTGATTAGGACATCCAAAAAGGGTAGCTTGCCATCATTTTCGACTTCCATGGTGAATCTGATGGCTGGGTGTATGGAATTGATGTGGTCGAGAAATTGGTCTAGAGCAGGCCGGCCATGTGGCCAGATGACAAAAGTGTCGTCTACGTACCTCTTCCATAAGGTCGGGCGTAGAGTGGCAGTCTGGATAGCGTCCGTCTCAAATTTCTCCATGAAGATGTTGGCTACAACCGGAGATAGGGGGGAGCCCATTGGGGTGCCCTCAATTTGCTTGTAGAAGGTTCCATTCCAGGTGAAGTATGTATTGGTTAAGCAGTGTTTCACCAGGGGGGGTACCCCAGCATTCAGTCCTTGATGAACCAAGTCTTCAATGATTGCGATGGTGTCAGGCACAGGTACCTTGGTGAACAAGGAAACCACATCAAAACTGACAAGCAGGTCGTCTGGGGACAGGGCAATCCCCTTGATTGTCGATACCAGGTCAGTAGAGTTTAGTACTGCAGAGGTGGTTTTTCCAGTGAAAGGCCGTAGGATTTCGGACAAAAAACGAGCCAGTTTGTAAGTGGGGGAGTTGATAGTAGAGACAATGGGACGAAGAGGTGTATCTTCTTTATGTATCTTTGGCAAGCCGTACAATCTTGGTGGTCTGGCTGCAGAAGGTTTCAACGAGAACTGTTTGGTCTGATCAATTAATGCGGTTGAAGCAGAAATGATGTTGTTGGTTTTGGAGACGAGGCTGTTGGTGGGGTCTCTTTTTATTTTTGTATAGCTGCCATCGTTTAATAGTTCTTGAATTTTGTTGTTGTATTCTATTTTGTCCATGATGACAGTGGCATTGCCTTTGTCGGCTGAGAGGATGACAATGTCATCCCTCTTTTTTAATTGAGCTAATTCAAAACGCTCCTCTTTGCTGATGTTGCTAGCTGGCATCTTAGCGTTTTTGAGGGTTACAGAGATTTCAGATCTTGCTACGTCTGCAGCGATGTGACTCAAGCCCTTGAGAGCTACATCTACTCGAGCAATTATATCATTAACTGGTATGTGTCTAGGTGTGACTGCAAAGTTTAGTCCTTTAGCTAAAACGGATTTCAAACCTTCAGAAATAGGACTGTTACTGCGATTAATTACGACTTTGTTAATATCTAGCTTTTCAATGTGTGGGTCCGGTTTCTTGTTTGAGAGGCGATTGAATTTGGAAATCAAGTTGTCCTTACATTTAGTCGACATAGCGGCAGCTGAAGAGGCAGTCATTTTTTCCACATGTTCCCAATCCGATGTGGACATTGTTACACTCAAAGATAAGTGTGATTTGTAGAGTGTCTTGTCTAACTGATCTAGTTCGGTGCGCGTAAGTCTGATTTTCTCTGAGATAAGAGCTAAGCTAGTTCTAGACAGAATTCGTTTCGCATTAGAAGAAGTTACAGCAGCAGATGTTAGTGTAAATGCGTTTGGTATTACCTTAGAGTCGCGGCATCTCTTCAGAAAGGTGAGAGACTCGATTAGCTGAGCCTTCTTATCCCGGAGCTTGTTGAAGGATCTCAAAGTTATGTGGAAACCCTCCCCGTAGAGGCGGTTAAATTTCGATTTAAAGCT